CGGAACTATTCTTTTTCAAGTTCGCAAAAAGAAAACTTGTAATATTTTTCTGTGAACTAGCAATTTTCTCTGCAATATTTCTCGAAGTAGTTCCTAAATCGCCCACAACATTCTTCGACAGCAAAGTTAATGAGAGTGCATTGTAGCAGAATAAATAAATCAAAATTGCTACGAAACCTAGTAAAATGACAGCTTTCAGTCCGAGTTTTTTTGGTGACATCTTATTTATGAAAAACTTTGTTCTGTGGATATTAAATCATTCATATTTACAGAAGTAGAATCATATTATAGACGTGATTGTTTCATCGTGATTTAATCATGTAGAAAACTGTTTTGCTCTATGTTAAATTATGGTCGTAAAGAGTTTTATTATTGGTGATAGAAGAAATCAAATAAAAGCTAAAAAGTATGAAAAATGTAGATCAGAAAGTTGCCAGTTTGTTCTATAATATACAGCCATGGTGCAAAAAAAAACGAACTTGAAAGATAATCAAGATGATGTATTTCTGGAAAGTATTATAAGATTCTTCTTCGTTATTGTTCGCACGAGGAAATATGGCTATTTAGCTACATTTGGTCAATCAGAGTTTTTTTAAAGCTGCAGTTTAATTATTCATCAAAACTTCATAATCTTTTTACCAATAGAAAAGGTGTTTTTCATAAAAAAATGTTTTAAATGAAACTTCATTTAGAACTTAGGCGGTTCCATTTAGCCAGAGGGGCAACTAAAAATCATTTTGTCAGAAACTGAATTTTTGGAACATGAATTTGGCGAAACGTAAAAATAATTTTACTGGGAAGCCAGTGCATATATATAAACAATAACGGCATTTTTACTTCAAAAACAGGGCTCCCTCTCATTTGAATTTCAGTTATGAAAAACATAATTTGCGTCTTGTTTTTCAATGTAAACTGTGCATTTCTTCATGCTCACAAATCGTACCTCTACTATAAACCTGTTTGTAATGAGCTCAGTTTGCGAACGAGTTAATTGCTTTGGAAGAAAGAATGGAATACTTGTGCTCGATGCGGTTTTTTCCCTTCAGACAAATTTTGACTTTTTTGAAAGTGGTATAAATGGTTTAACACTCTGAGCCCAAATTTAACCTGTCATCATTTTTCGTGAAGCTTTCGCGGTTTAGCAACTTCCAGTTTGGCTATTTGGGGGCAATTGAGACGTGACAAATTTCGTTCTAATAACGCCTGAGCGGCGATTAAATTTGATTGATGCGATCTATGCGGATCCTTATGGTAGCAGGACAGTTACCCTATTCCAATCTGCCCTATGCCCATTTACCTGATACTATTTTACACTATTACCAAATTAACCTATGCCAAAATATTTTTTCAAAATTACCCCTCATTTAAGTTTTAACTTTAAAACACAAGGTGTTAGGAACACGTATGGAAATGTTCATTCATTTGAGTTCTACATTGTTCACTGATAATTTGTCTTAGTTTTTGATCCAAAAACTCTGTGAAATCGATTGAAAATTTTGACCAAAATAGCAGCATTTAACACAATTAGGAGGTTTCACCTCCCTATATCGAAAACTAAAATAGAATGGCACTCAAATATCGAAAAATGATCATTTTATCAATTGCATACTTAAAACAAAAGGAGGCAAATTACATGGGAATTGAAACAGGGAAGTCGCAAAACGCTTTTTATGCAGGGTCATAAAGACACGAAAAAGTGAGAAGCACTCGCAAAAATTTAAGGTGACTGCAGTTCTGGTATCTACGAGAACTAAACAGTCGCGAAGTGTTCGTTGGCCGGTCAGACACGTGCATGTTAATGCAGCGAATGATGCAAGATACTAAAACTCTATAGACTTATCTCTAAACAGTGGCCAAGGAGAAAGCCAACCAACTGGCTTTATCTTGGCACTCTGCTATTAACAGGGCACTCAATTGACATAAAAAACGTCCGACAGGCCTTTTGCCCAGCAAATAGTTCACAGGCACTTCGAAGATCCTGTTGAAATGGCGGCTGAACTTGCTTTTGCCTGGTCATCGAGGAATTAAAAAAGGGTGCGGAACCTTTGACCAGGACTACGGTTCGTCAAAAAATAGATCAAGTTGCTTCCTTTTTCCACAGAAGTTATATCGAGATGGAAATATTCGAAGAACTTATCACGAGACATGAAATCCATTCAAAATATGAAACCGTTCGGAGAATGCAGTTTTTTTAATATCACTATGCCCTTTACTTAGGTTGTGGGGGATTTTTTTAAAGAAAATTAATCAAAATAGTTTAAAATTTTAAATATCATCTGAAATTTATTAATGTCTTCAGCTCAAGGTCAAAATATTAGTGACTTGCTATTATTTTTTTTGTAAAATCATTGGTGTTTGAATCAGTTTTTAAAAAATTGTGATTTTGTTTTTAAGTTCAGTGCATTTTCATTGTACCATAAATCACTGCTCAACAAAAATGCTCAATTTAAGTTTCTCTGTGCTGCTCTTTTTGACAATTTAATATCATTTGTTTATTCCCTCAAATTGTTCCTCAAATTGTTTCCCCTAAAAGTGAAAATTACAATTTCATTGCTATGGTGGGGGAACTTTTGTTTACTAACGACACAGGGGCGGATCTAGGATTTTCGCGAGGGGGGGGGCGGATTTTCGAAAAAAATTCGAAAATTTTGACGACTTTTTTTTTAGGTCGACCAAATTGATTTTTCCAGCTCTCCCAAAGCAATGTTTTGCCCCTATTTTGATAAAATTTTGTGCGCCGCAGGCAAATTTTTGAAAAAACAGTCAAAAAAAGCCGTTTTTGGGCTTTTTTTGAAAAATTTTGACAAAAAAAAATCGCGTTTTTTTTTGGCGCGCGCTCCCCCCTCAAAGTTAGTATATATTGGCGCCAAAGGCGCCTTTAGAAAAATTTTAGGGTCGGTCGGCCAAAAATGGATTTCTGAAAAAGTATCAAATGAGGGACCCTTTGGGTCGGCAGGGTGTCGAATCCCTGAGGGGGGGAGGCGTCCGCCCCCTCCCCTGAATCCGCCCCTCTAACGACAGCAAGTTCTCGGAATCTGAATCTAGAATCGTTTTTATTATTCTTTTTTTTATTGTCTTCTCTTTACAAATGCCTTCTTTATTATCGAATCGTAGCAGCAGTTTGCAGGTTCCTTGCAATTTGACCTAAAGGTAACGCCGTTGCCCTTGCACTCTAAGGTCTGGGGTTCGAGTTTCAGCCGGAGCTTGTTGATTCCGACCATTGAAAATGGGGAGGATCTTTGGATTCGGGTGTGTTTTAGTTTTTTCCACGTAAAATTAGCTACCACAAATAATCATCCGACAGGGTTGAGCGATATATCATATTAAATCCCTTTCAGTCGTGATTTGAACGACATTTAAAATATCAAAAAAATTCTCAATGTCGAGAAAAACCGGTTTGAATTTTTTGGTCTAATTTCGAGCAAATTAGTAAGATAGTTAGTAATTGCAATAGCTTATTTAAGCCGTAAAGACTTAGTTTTACTCAGATAAAGGTAGTTTTTGGAGTTTTTTAGCGCAATTTTTGGAATCAAAAACTTGAAAATTCATATGTTTTCCGCAAAATTTTTTTTTTTAAATTAATGAAATTTTCAATTTTTTATTTTTCATTTTTGTAGTCATTTTTCTTCAAAAACTGTTTTTCAATTGACTTAATTTACTATGACTCACAAATATGCCTAAGTTCTATTTTTTCGTTTGAGAAAACATTTTGTATTTTCTTAAGACTGTGGTCGGAACATTGTGCTACTTGCACATTAATCGGCTATCCTCGTTTATTTTTAGTTACGAATGATAAATATATAGTTTTTTTTTGTTTAATTGTTCCGACCTTTTGATAATGTGTTTCGGGTTTGTTTTAGTTTTTCTTTTTGTTTTCCACGAAAAATTAGGTACCACAAATAATCATCGGAATGGGTCGAGTGATATATCATATTAAAGCCCTTTGAATCGTGATTTGAACGACATAGAAAACCTTTCTCAGTGTGGAGCTAATAAGGTGAGCATGCAGGCTTACAACAGCTTATTTATGCTTTGTTTAAACCGGGAAAACTTAATTTCACTTGGGTAAAGTTAGTTTTTGGAGTTTTTACCGCCAATATGTGAATTAAAAGCTTTCTGCAAAAAAATTGAAAAGTTTTTGAATTTGAGGTTTTTTTGGGTCATTTTCAATTGCGCTATTTTTCTGTGACTGTCGAATATGCCTAAGTTCTTTTTTTGTTCAGATCTTTTTATCACAGCACGCAGATAAACAACACTAATTTGAAAAAAAAAGTTTTTTGGATTTTTGAAGACCCGTCGGAACATGCTAGTTGAATTTTTTTGTCTTTTAATTTTTGGCTGAAATGTCTGTGGTCCGATTATTCTGTATTACTTGCACTGCAAACAGATATCATTACTGCTTTCATCGAAAACTTATCCTCATCTGTTGACTAACCCGCAGTCGAGAAAGTTCTAGAACTCATGGAGAATCATTTGGTCGAAAAATATTTGCTTCTAGGTCAGCTTTTGGGTGAGTTTTGGCAATTTTTGTTCGGTTTTCAATTTAATTTTTTTCAGCTTCTATTAATTTTCTTTCTTCAATAAAAAATTAGAATTAACGCGAAATAGTACATTATCTATGTATTTCGTCGATTTTAAAATTTGTAGAAAAATAAAATCTTCAAGGCTATCTTTTTTGTTTTACTTACTTCACAAATGAATATTACAATTTTATTATGTTTTTTCTTACATCAACCATTTCTTTTCAAGTAAGTTTTTCAAAGTTGGATTATATTGGGTACATGCTATTTTGCAGGTATACTATATGCTTCTTGAAAATGGGTTGTTTTCGATAGATTTCATTAAGTTGCATTGATTGTCAACCAAGAGTAAATACGAGACGTCAATAGTTTTATACGATTCGAACAAGGCCTCTGTCCGTTTTTTTTTTAAATTATGAATTGTTAATATTTCGTACGCCTCTGATAATGTTGTTGAATCTAATTGATTATCATGTGCAGGTACTCGAAGTACAAATTAGAACAGCACGCAGATCAGAAGCTACAAGAGATGGTAGAAATGAGCAGGAAGACGAGTAATTTCTCGGCCAATCAGGAGTCTTGTCTCCAAACTGTAGTCTCCTTCCTACCCAATTTGCAGACCATCATCGCCAGAACTTTCGACTCCCAGCAGCTCAGAGCCAACCTGGATGAGAACCCACGCAAAAAGGTAAGAAAGGGATTTTTAATTATCGCCCATACCATTTTTTCCAAAGTTATTGTCACATGTTTCAGCTACTGATCACGTTTGCCTGTATACAGTGTGTCTAGCAGAATCAGTAGAGCATTTAATGCAACTTGCTTTACTTGTGATATCAAATGAAAGAAATTATTACTGGTCATCTATAGCAAAACTAAGGTGTCTGTTTGAGCCGACGGAGTTGTATGATTTGGTTTGAGCCTCTGTAAGAATTGTTTCGATATAAAATATTTAAGTGATGGCTTTTTATTGAAATTCGAACAAATTTTACACCAAAAAACTCTTGTTATTTTACGAGTTTACTTTAAACTCGGAAAAAGTGAAGCATAAATTAGTGCTCAGTTTCAATGAATGTGCTTAGCTCTAATTCTCTATGGCGATTAAATAGCTCATGTTTCTTCCGCTTTATTGGTGATGCTCTTTCGGTAAAAGCAAGATATTATCGCTCAGTCGTGAAGACATTAGATTCTAACTCTGGAGGGCGAGTGGCTATAAGACGCTCGGCCTTAAACACAAAGGTCGTGGTTTCAAATTCCGCTTCGGTCATGGTTTGAGGGGTCCCAGTGTCATCCGCCACCTCAATGTCCAAGGATATAAGGTCCAAGGTTGAAAAGTGGGAGCTGGACCGGGGGTTAATAAAAAACTCTGCAGGGCGGCGGTTCTAGTTCTATAGGCGGCAATGTTTTTTTTATTTTTCAAAGCGTTACCGTTTTTTTATATATTTTTTCTTTTGAGGTTTCATGTCATTTTCTGCGAGGTGCAACTTCACCTAAGTCTTACACGTTTAAAAACCTTGGTATGTGCTCATATTGCGCAATTTTTATTCTCGAAAAAAAGTGAGGATTTTTTGTAATTATGATTTTTTGATAATTAAGTATCAGTGAAGACACTTAATAGATCGAGATTATTTTTTCTCGATATTTTCAGGAATAAGTCTTGAAAATTGTTCACCTTGAAATTTGATTTTTCGCTGTTTGAGTTATGATTTTTTTTCAAGTTCCGTTCATTTTCTTTCTTTAAAGGATGGCCAACTCTATTATCGAACAGTAAAAGCGTAAAGGTCAAAAAAACTTGATTGACTTTTTTTTGCGAACGTGGACTTAAGTTTTCAGATTTCCCAGCGAAATTTAAAAACATCTATGAATCCTCGTTTCTCAAATTATATCATTTTATCAACAAGTGTCGATCATAAATTGCTCTTGAAATTTGAAGATTTTCAAGGGCATATATTTTTTTGTCAAAATTCAAGAGTTAAAAAACAAGTCAGTATTTTCTTTCATTGCGTTCATTGACACTTGTTAACTGTCCGTTGGCTATGTTTTGGCTGATGAAAGAAATAGTCGGAACGTTTTTTGAAAAATGTTTGACTTGACGACGGATAGCTGTCCCTGTTAGATTTCTGCCAAATTTTATTCATGATTTAAGGTAAAGCGATCGAGTAGCGTTCGTTATGTGAAATTTTAACTTTTTTTAGGCCGATAAAATTGATTTGTTAACAAGAAAACTAGTTTTGGAAGTTTAGGTAGCGCTTTCCTGCTAATAAATGTTTTCTAAAAAATCAAGACAAATGGCGATTATGGCTATTCACTAGCTTCATACGCGTTTGATTAGTTGTCTGATTACACCAAGCACTAAAATTGACAATTTTTTGAAAATTAAGAAAAAAAATTTTTTTTTGAAATGTAGTCGGTCCATTCTTTGCTAGTTTCACTGCAACCGCCTATCCTTATTATGATTTTCAAGTGTTTTCGAATGTATCGAATCTACTACTGTTAATATTTTCCTGCGAAACAGCTTTATTAACGTGCAGCTGGTCAATTCTAAAGCTGCTGGCACCAATTTTTTCACCTTGAAGGTTTCTGTGTTTTGTCTTGTATACTCGGCCATGCACAGGCAACTGAATATTGAGGGAAACGTTATAGGTTGATATACACGATCAAAGTTTTATTTTCAATGCTTATTTTTGCTTTTCCCTTATTTCACTTGGTTTTCGTCTTTTAAAACTTCTTGCCGTTTTCTCGCTTGTGTTTGTGAAGAGCAGCTTCGCCTGTGTGATACATTTGGTTCCGCTTCAGCCTAGTTTTATTAAAAATGAGAAGTTGTTTCAAATATTTTGTTATTTCTGCTTTGATTGTTCGCGCCCAATCTTGATTTTTTTTGCGATTTGACTTTGATTTGTTCTTTAAATTAAATTTTTTGTACGTGTCAATTTTTTTGCTTACGCCTTTGGTAATTGATTAATCAGAAAATTAATTGATAAACCAGAAAGCACAGAATTTGTGGGGGAAGGAGTCTGAAAAGGAAGTTAATAGTCGTTTGCTCAGCGTGAAAACGCAGAATTCCGATCACAAACATCGTTGAAAAAAAAGGTAGCAAGAATAAATATATATTTTTTAAATTATTCATGAAAATTAATTTTTTTAGAAGATAAAATTCTTATTTTTCTGCAAAATGTACTGCTGAACTAAAATTGAAATACTATCAAGTGTAAAAGAACGAAGCGATTGTTTTGTGTTTTTGGTTGACAAAAATTTTTAAAATGCTCAAATAACCTCAAAAGTGCATTCATACAATTTTTGAAATATTCATATTTGTGTATTCATACAAATCATATAAAGTTCATGCACTTTTTGGGTTCAATTCAAACTCATCTGCTAAAAGTTAGTTAAACTGCGCTCTCCAATAATGAAAGCTGAAATGACGCAAATAACTTGAACGACTTCTAGTTTTGAAATTGGATTTTAATTTTTTTTAGATTTCTCAGCTGAATAAAAATTTACCTAACAATCCAGTTTTTTTTAGATTGGGTTAGTTTTATGAAAAAAATCAACGAGCTTTATGAAATTCAACCTGGTATATTTTTTCTTCAAATGTTGAAAAATGTTCAAAATTTTCAATCAATATATTTCAGTTTCCTTAAGCTTTTACGTTTTTCCAACCTCCTGTTGGCTATGTTCAATCTGAAAAAATACCTAGTTAAGAAAATGCAAGAATTAAATTTTTGGAAGGTTTTGACTGAAAAATCCCGTTTTTTTTTTGGCGCGCGCTCCCCTTAGAATTGGCATTGAAGCAGTCTTTAGAAAAGTGCTAGGGTTTGTTTCCACAGTTAAGTCATAAATTTTCTTAAAAAAGTGGCAAGGGGCTCCTGTTATTTTTTCTTGCGTTAACATTTGATCTGGTTTTTTTTCTGAAAAAGATTGGCCAGTTATTTTGATGAAAAATGCGAAATATTTCTGAATAATAGTCACCAGTAAAGTTCTTAGAACTTTCTTTTTGTGAACAAGTACACCGTAAAAGTTGTCAGACAGAGAAGAAAGATAGGCTCTTATCCATTTTTACACAAATTTTTTTTAATTATCATTATGCAATGAAATTTGGCATGTTTGATGGTCAAACTGACTATTGCGAGTAAATTTGTTCTTCATATTCAACAGCGTAACATCACAAATTTAGCCATAATATCGCGTTATTAAAACAACTATGAAAACGAGCCTTTAGAAATGTGGGCGTTGGGAGGGGGGGGGGTTTGGAGTGGAAAAGAGCCGAAGTCTTTTTCAGAAGGAAATCTGGGATGAGCTGATGATTACTTGCGTGTGTCGCTGTGTGGCCTCCGTCTACTCAGTAGTGCTACTCTACATGCTAGTCAGAGTACAGGTCAACATCCTCGCAGGTGAAATGTATAAGAGAAGGTCAAGGTCATCACACGCTTCGTCTGCTGATTCACTAGTGACGTCACCGGTTGAGGCGGGAGAGGTTGAAAGTATTACAGATGAAATGGCGCACAGTAGGGAGGGTAAGCTGCTGTTCGGTTTTTGATACAGGCGTGGAATTCATTTTACAATCACCCGCTTGGCAAAAAGGGGCCATTTTGAATCTTTTCAATTTTCACATACGCTTAGCTGTTGCATTAGCTCTGTATTTGTGTGAATAGAAAAATCCATACTGGCATAGAAGGGGAAATTATAAAAAAAACGATCGTAAAAAGATGCTACAATATATGATAGATCGGTTTCCATAATATAGAGATTTTTGAAAAATGAATTGATAGGTAAGTTCATTAGTATTAGAGATAAATAATTAGGCCCTCTTTTGTAGTGCTTTTTTAGATCTTCAGAGCTGTTTTATTTTCAATAAACCCGTCCCACACTTAGTGTTCTGGAAAAATCAGATGATATATTCGAGTTTTCGCCTGCCACTTGGACCTTTTGTTTTCATCTCATCTCTTGTTTCGTGTTTTCTCAGGCAGAGGTTTTCAATTTGGTGCTCTCCGAGTTTTTGAGCTGAAATTTCTATTATTGACCAGACAATTTATCTGTCGAAAGTGTTTTGGACTAAGTTGACTTGGTATGTTATCATTAATTGGTTGTTCAGAACGTGTCCATGACCAGCAGTTGAGAAAAAGCTACTTGTCCGAGATGAAACACTTCCTCACCGATGGCCTGAAGACTCTGTTCGACATCATCGAGAAGACAGTCCGGCAACACCTCAACACAGTTTCCCTCAAGGCAAGGCAGAGCAGTGCAGTGATGTCCAGCTAACAAATATTCTAACTAAAATATCTAGGTCAAAATCAGACTTGACAAAATCATGTCGGACCAGGGGTGGATTCAATGGGATTTAGAAATGGTACTTTTGGTACTTTTTTAAGAAATCCATTTTGGTACTTTTTTAAGAAATCCATTTTTGCTGAAAATGGATTTCTTTGGTACTTCCCTTTGAGACTTTTGGTACTTTTTTAAGAAATCCATTTTTGCTGACCGACCCTAAAATTTTTTTGAAAATCCGCCCCCCCCCCCCCCCTCGAGAAAATCCTAGATCCGCCCCTGATTTTTTAATGTTCCGAGTTTCGAGGAAAAGGATGAATATTTGTGATCATTTTGGTTTTAACCAGTTGGTCTTAACAATTTTGGTCTCAATTTGGCAAAAATAATTAAATCATGTTGATTCTGGTAATATTGTGAGCAATTTTTGCCTTCATAACTTTTTGTCTGAAGTCAAAAAACCAATTTTAGAAAAACATATTTGGAAATTCAATTTTCGTTCATTTTGTCCTGATAATTGAAATCAGCGCTATATCTCCCTTTATTGGCAAAAAATCTTGAAGAAAATTTCAAAAAATTTCTTATGCAATAGCCTGTTTACTGAGTATTAGGTTCCTAGCCTGTAGATTAGTTGCTGAAACTGGCGAGCCAATCCAACTTGGTAATTTTCCTGTCATTTTCATGTAAATTTCATCCCTCAGATTTTTTTGGATCCGTTAATTTGCGTGAAAAGAAAAACTTGAATATAAAGTTTCGACTCCCAGAGAATAATATCAGTTTAGCAGCTAAACTTGAAAGATTTGAAGAGTATTTGAAAGTGGAACAAATTTATAGCTGAGAAAGTTGGTATTTTTCTATGATTCTCTAATTAATAGAAAAAGCCCGTATTTGTCTTAAATCGAATAATTATTCAAAGCGGCTGCTGTAAGAACTTGAAAGAAGCACAGATTTGTAGTTGAGAATTAGGTTTTTTTTCTATCTTTCTATACTTAATCAATGAAATAATTACACGATATCACTGGCTGAAGGACAAAATGACACTTTCCAACGTGGAGTCTCTCATGCGAAGCATCAAGAACGAGGTCGACATGATTCTAGACGACCAGTCGTCTCTTTCGAGTGCCGAGGATAACAGACCAGGCAGTTACACGCAGCCCTCTGGAAAGTTCACTCATATCCTTATGAGACAGACTACTAAGACCCAGCCACCCGCAACCTCAAAAGCTGCCTTGGAGTGAGTGAAATCTAATTTTATATTTGTTCTCAATAGATGCTTTTAAAATGCGCAAACTTTAAAACTCATTTCATCATAAAGTTTTCATTCACTTTTCATAATCTGTATAGAAGCAATTGGAATGAACAACGCTTCCAATTGGGTGTCAGACTTTGAGAACGTTTGGGCAGAATGATGACTGATTCTGCCCATTTGATCCAAAAATAAAACCGATGTTTGAGGCGACAAAGCCATGGGTTTTGAGTCCAGACGGGACCTTTTTTTTGCAAATATGAAATTTCCTTTTTAACAAAATGTTAATCTTCGAAATTTCATGTTTACTTATTTTTCTCGGCTTAGTTTTCGCAGTAGGGATTTTTTCAAGGATAATTTTTTATAGAAGAGTCAATGAACGCAATGAAAACATATAAATAGGTCGTGCTGATTTTTCTCAGGAAATCGATTTTTTTGTCTCATAGGATAGTCTGATGCAAATTTAGTTCGACAGTGGAACTTTTTGACTGAAAAGGCTTAAATATGATACCAAACTCGATGCCATATTTTTGGCCCCCGGTCCTGTTCAATGCAGAACCAACTGTGGGGTAAGAGGATGTCATCCATTTTGTCGTAGCCGGTCCCACCTTGAGCAGGCGGATGACTCTGGATTCCCTCCATCTGTGACTCAATGCCCTAAAGATTCTCGTAATATAAACACCCTGAAGCGGTCGGAGGAACAATAAAATTAAGTCGTGATGATTTAAAAAAAAAGATTATCAAAGATGTTCTTCCTCTAAGCTAGCTGTCTAATTCATTATGGGGTGAAGGAAGCGCCACATTCATGTTAAGCGTCTAGACTTAATGGTTAATTTGGATTCATTTGACTCGCTTTTTGTTTTGCCAGACAATCTGCAAGGTTTGTAGATTTTCTGTTGGTATTGGTTTTACGTTGGTGTTTGGCTTAGATTCTGTATTATTTTTTAAATAATGATAGCCGGTTGCTCTACAGGCAGCACAGAATGCTCCGACTAATCTGCATCTGAGTACAGTAATCTGAGAAACCGAGCTTCATTTGGCACTTTTCCTCCAAATTGTATTCTAATATAATGTTAACAAAATGATTAGCCTTTGAATTCCTAGAATTTATACATTTGATACTTAATTTAATCGCTTTCTATTAAAAAAAAATAAAAGAAAAATTTTAAGCAAAAAATGAAAAAAAAAATTAAATTTTTTCTTTGTTCAACGTTTAGTCGGATCATTCTATGCGACTTTTGCGCAACAAGCGGCTATCGTTGTTGTTTTAGGACTAGTGCTATTTCAAGTAGAAATGAAATCTGTTGTAGGATTGAATCTGGGTCAGACCTCTCTATCGACAATAAAAGTGGCGACAGTGCGAATGAAGCACCCAACTGCAGCAGGAAAACTAGCCGCAAGCAATCATCCATGGTGCAGTCATACCTCTTTTTACGCCAAATGTCCCTTTCGAAGTATCTATTCCCAAAATCAATGCAATCCCAACGAAACAGACGCAAACTAAACTTGTCCACTCTTTTGAATCATACGAGAGAAATTCTAAACCTTACCGACTTTTCGGCGACTGTAATCGAGTTAACCGAGAATAGTTTGTCGTATTTAATACGAACGTTGGCCGAGCATTCTGTTGTTGATCAAGTGCAAAAAGACGGGAACGAAAATAGTGCAAATTTTTTCGATGACAATTCTAATGTTAACATGCCGATGGCCAAATGGATTCCAGTTTTGGACGCTCAATTGTATACTTTATGCCAGTACGATCACCACATAAACTGCCTGTTAATGAGCATACATTTGAACAAAACTGTGAAACTATTCTCCGAAAATGTATATGAAGCTTTCGTTTCTGATTAATATGATTTGATAGATCTTTAATAAATCTTCATTCTCAAAGCATTTTTGTAACATGGCCACCAAACTTTAGCTGCTTATAGTTTCATGGCGACTTACAGTGGTCTCAAAAATTGCGTTTTTTTACACTAGCGGTCTTGCGAGCAAAGTGTATTAGAAATAATTTTTTTCGTAACTAATTCGCAAATAAAAGTGTTAATTAAAAGTGCTCACTTATTTGGTGGCACTATTGTGCTAATCAAGATCTGTAGCATTGGAAATTTTATAGCATCAGTTCTGCTTAACTTGTGGCTAGTGTTTGTTATTTTAATAGTCCGTGGCTGAGTGATTAGGTTAGTGTGCGAGACTCATAATCAAACACACTAGGTCGCAGATCGAATCCAAGAGTTAACTAAATTTTCTTTAATTCGAGGATTATTTCTACCTTTTCTTTTTGTACTTTATGGAGCTGCTTTTTCCATGTTCTCGCTTGTGTTTGCAATATGAAGCTTCTCCTCTGTCTCAAAACGCGTTCCTTTCTCATTTTTCAAGCCTTGACAACACGGTATTTTTGGCGCCTCCACAAGTTGAATAAAAACAGATATGAGTAGCGCACACTCGGTAATTTGATTACACTTGCGAGAGCAAGTGTCTTGTACTCGAGGCTAGACTTTTTTCCCGTAAACAACTTTTCTTACCTTCTTTTCTTCCTAGTTCACTACTTTCTTGTATTGTCAACTTCTTCCAGGTTCCTTTCAATTTCCAGGTTCCTTCCTTTTTCCAGGTTCCTTCCCGTTTCCAGGTTCCTTCCCTAAGGTCTGGGGTCGAGTCTCGGTCGGACCTTGTTGTTTTTTGCAATTGAAAATTTTCAGGAAATTTTCCAAAAAATGGTTATTAGATCTTGGTAGTTATTTTTTTTGTTCATTCGAAATTTCATCTTTTGCGGCTTGACTTTTAATTTCTTAAGGTTCATGTGCTCAGATGAAGGCAAATTTTGCTGTTCCAAATATGAAAGACAAAGTGTGGAACCAAGTTTTCTTTTTTCAGATCAGAAAACAATAATTCATTTAGCAAAAGAAGCGGTCAAACAGACAAATTTTCGTTGAGAAACCGTGAAAAAATTGTCTTAAACTATACACTACGGTGTAACTTTATATATCGATCAAATAGGTCGGTCTGGTAATAGGTCTTCCCCAATTTCTAGTTATGAATGTGAACTCAGTTTATAGATTTCCCAGCTGAATGAAAACTTTAACTGTTGCGCCAGTTTTATGAAGTGTCAGTCATAATTTTTTCTGAAATTCCGAGAGCTTTAAGATCATGAATTTTCAAGTTAGAAAATGGAAAGTTTGAATTTTAATCAAAAGAATAAGTCAGTCATTTTCTGTTTCCTAGTGATCATTGAAACTTTTGCACCTGTATCTTGGCTATGTTCTGTGTAAAAGTAATGTCAAACTTCCCAGTCTGTGAGTCATTCAATATTTTGATTTTTTATACGCTTGCCGTTATTAATCAAAACGGAATAAAGAAAGTTTTCGGATTAACAATTTGTTTTTTTAAAATCATTTTATAGCTTGATTTAAGATAAAATCAATTTTTATGGCAGTTGCTACCCCGAAGTTAGTACATTTTGTTTTTTTTTTTGCTTAAAAATTCTTTAGGCCTAAATGGTATTGGCTTATAATTGATCGGTTTACTGGCCTAATTTTGCGTCCTTTAAAGGAAAACACAGTTTTTTGCCCTCCCTCAATTTTTCTCTCACGATAGTCATAGATTTTCAGAACTTGATAGCTCAAAAGTTTTCATGACACTGATTATGTTTTCGACGCAACGTGAGTTTACCTGTTTTTCGTCGGCCCAGTTGCTTAATAATTATTTCTAAATATTTATTTAATGCCGTCAATTTTGTTGCTGGACGTGTTTTCTTGAAGTGAACATCATTCGAGACAAAATTGTGAATTGTTTGTAATCTTGGTTTTTCGACAATTTTCGACTTACTGGCGTTCATTTTACCTTTTGACTGCTAGATCGCAATGCTATGTGCGGTATACGCTTCGCGTCTGTGTTTTCTCGCCCTAATGAAAATTGCTCTATGAATTGAACTGAAATTTCTTGACAAGTAAAAAGTATTTCAAACTGTTTTTCCTTCACAAGTTTTTTCATAAGATTTGAACCAAAAAATAATAATTTATTTAGTTTTTTTTCTCCATAAAACCTCTCAGATGCTAATTTTAAATAGATGTCTGAGGAAGAACAAACAACTGGAGGGAGAGATGCAGTTTTATCGACTGTTTATTCCAAGGTTTGAGTTTAAGTTCAAGGTTTCAGTCTGAGAAAAGAGCTGCTCGCCAATTTTTACGGCACTTTCTTTTACTTCATTTACGCTCAGTTTTTACTAGAGTTAATTTTTGCTATAAATAGATAACTGCTGTTTTTCAATATCAACTCGATTACTTCGCTCTTGAGATGCAGTTTTTGAAACAGTCGGAAAGGAATGGTTTTAAAATGGAAGGTTTTAAGGGAGTATATTTTTCTAGGTATGAAATGTAAGATTTTACAGCGTAAACAGCCGTTTTGTGAGTTCTTCTTTTGTTAGTTCTTCAAATTTCCTCACATGGAATCTTCGTAAAAAACAGTCAGTTCGTCGAGAAACGCGATGCGCTTGTAGTACTCTCGGTCTCTCTCGTTCGGCTCCTGCTCTTCGGACGGGAGTGCCTCGTTAAGTTCGCTCGCTTCGTCTTTCAACTCGAGGGAGAGTCGCGACGCACAGTCACGGGTCGCTGGATGATGCGGACCGAGTATCTGTCGGCGGATCAGCCATGTTCGTCGGAAGCATTCGTACGCGTTTTGACTTTCAGATTGAAGTTTGAAAAATACGCCCAAGTTTTTGTAGATTCGAGCCATCAGAAACGTAAACTCGCCGTATGTTTCTCGGCATAGATTGCGTGCATGAAGCAGCAAAATGAGGCTCTCGGTTTGAGCCGTGTCCAACCGTCTGAGGATGAGAAGCGCTTCGGTCATTTTTGCCTCAGCGCGAAGTCCGTTGTCGCCGATGTTGTCACAGATCTCATATGCCTCGGTCAAACTCTTCTGAGCATCTTCAATAACATCTTCATCCCTTAATACCAAAAAACTTACTGGAAAGTAGTTTAGAAGTTATTCAATCTGTATCAATAGCATCTTATGTTTGCTTGCGAAAATTAAGATTCCAAAACTGCAAAAATTCGAAAATCAACTCTCAAAAATCCGCAAGTTATGCGCTTAAAAATCGATATTGATATGTATATTTGTTTGCAAATAGAAGGATATAGGACCCGTGAATTTTTCTGGGCATTAGCAAAGGTAGTAAGCAATGTCCAAATGGCCACCTACTGTTATGCGGTCTGCATCATTTTAAGGTTATGTAAAAGGTTTCAGGTTTAAATGGTTGCTTGTGTTGTCAATTTAGAAGTTTTTAGAATATTCGAAGTTTGTGTTCACTACATTCAGCCTAAGTTTTTGGTCAGACATTGGTCCTTGTTATTTGCAAGGTTTGCGAAGAACTACTTCGTCTCTGTGATTTTATTTGTTGTTGAGTTAAAATGAAGTTTGTGAATTTCTTATCTGGATTTGGATTTCCTTTCTGGAATTCTATATCGATATTTACCTGTCTCCCTTGAGCATGACCTGGAAGGCATAAGCCTTCATGATGAGCAACTTGCACAGCTTTGGAAGTGACAGAAGAATACTCTCTTCTTTCTTGTTCTTCTCAATGACGTCATCGCATATTTTCACTACCTTTTTGTACTTTTTCTTCACACCTTCCTAAAGTTTGAAAAACTCTCATTACAAAATTGATTTGGCAAATAACATTACTCCTAATCTGATAAAATATTGAAAGTCGAGTCCATTCTAAGAATCAAGAATCAATAGTTATTGTCAGATAACTATTTGGTTTTTTCTTCAATTTTTCACAATTTTAACTGAACATTGGCTAATTTCTAGCCTTTGTATGCTATTTACTTGTGCTTAAGACGAACTTCAAATGTCAGAAACCACCAAAAACTCTGACAATTTTCTCGACAATAAATAAGGTTTTTAGAGATTTTCAACTTTTTGACCAAACAAAGCATTTGGTTTCCCTTTGGTTTGAAAACGGAGAAGGAGCATTTTTTCTCCTATCACATAATAATGAATTTTGTCAATGAAGTACTTTAATTGAGAAAAATTCATTAGCACTTTTGTCAATTTTGCTTTAATAATCATAATCAATGATGTATTGTGGCTCCCTGATTCGACCATTTCCCAACAGTGAGAGGACAATGGATTAAGAGTGCGATTTCTTATCCAGTTTCCGGTACTTCAGAGCTCGCATAAACCTTATTGAAGGATATATCACTCAACCCAGTTCGATAATTAATTGGTACCTGATTTCGCGTGGAAAACAAGAAGAAAAAACTAAAACACACCCTAATACAAATTTCCTCCCCATTTTCAATCGTCGGAACAAAAAGATGGCCGGTTACTGTGCAAGTAGCACAGAATGTTCCGACCATAGTCTTACACAAATACAACAAAAAACGTTTTTCAAATTATAGACATATTTTTCCTGCGTGTTGTGATAAAAGGATCTCAACGAAAAGCTACAGTTTAGGCATATTTGATAGTCATAGTAAAATAAGCATATTAGTAAACAATTATTGTGGAAAGTTCTTTAGAAAAACAAAAACAAATCAAGAAAAAAAATTTCAAAATACTTCTGTTTTTTAGCAGTTTTTTTGAGTTTTTGTCAATTTTGTTTCCAAAAAGGCGCTAAAATACTAAAAAAAACTAACTTTAGTCGAAATAAACTAAGTGTTTACCGCCTAAATTAAGCAATTGTAAGCCTTTAGGCTAATAAAAAAACTGATGTAAGCCTGCTCGCTCACTCGAAATTAGCGGTTTCCCACCGGTTTTTCTCGACACTGGCAAAATTTTTTGAAAAATTTTAATTTCCTTCAACTCATGATAAAATAAGCTCTAATGATGTATCACTGAATCCAGTCCGATGATTATTTGTGGCACCTAATTTTGCGTGGAAAACAAAAAAACTAAAACACCCGAAAACAACGTTCCTCTCCATTTTCAATGGTCGGAACAAACAGCGACAATTGGTTGCAAGGCAATTGGTCACATGGCGAGGTTTTTTTGACTGGAAGTTCCGCGAAACATTGCATATCGAGTCCCAAACCAGCTAAGGCATGCCTTTTTGTTGCTGTGCATTGCTTAATCAATTTGAATTAGTTGCACAAGTATTCGTCGCTTTTCCAAATACTATGAATTGTCGCCTGCTATGAATAATGAAAATTGCTACAAATGCTACAAATTGTCGCTTTTTCAAATGCTACGAGTTGCCGGTTTTTCAAATGCTAAGACACTTCGCTTGCTACCAATTGTCGTTTGCGACGAATTGTAGCCTCACGGTTATTAAACGGTGCCTCACGGTTCATAAACTGAAGGAAAAAAAGGTTTCTTTTCAGAAGGCAAAGAACTTATTTCAGACTCTTACATTGGTTGCGATTAGGGTTGCTCTTTTTTTTTTAATTTGTTCAGACTCAAATTTATAAATTTATTTTTTCGCGGCTTGACTTTTAATTTCTTTTTAGGTTCAGTTTCTTTTTTTTGTTAAAAGGAAGGTAAACTCCACAATCGAACAGCAAAACTATAAAGGTTACCAAAAACGTGATTGAATATTAGTTTCGAAAATGGGGTATTTGAATTTCTGATTTCTCAGCGAAACAAAAAGATCGCCTATTTATCCAGTTTTCTAAAACTGGGTTGTATTTGTTATCAAAAACGTGCCAATCATAAATTTAGAGAGCTTTATGGCCATGAATTTCTTTCTTGGAAATTTGTCTGTTGGCTATGTTTTCAATTATTGGTCAACTTTTCAAGTGCGGCTTTCAAGTGCAGGCTTTTTTTCTAAATTTTTTCATTCTCAATCATATGAATGGTTTTCTAATGGTTTAAAAGCATAAAATTTTTAGCCGACAATTCGCAACATGCTAAAATTCGTAACAATAGATTAAATGGCGATCTAATTCACTTGCAGTATACCTCTCGAGCCAAATGTTAGCGAAGCAGAGCGAATCGGAGCCTGTTGCGAATTGTTGCTCTACCGATAATTATAATCTATGGTTTTACTTAAAACTGAAATAGTTTTTTTTTCGGTTTTTCGTAATTGTTTTTTTTTTGAAAAGATAAATTTGGTCGATATGTTTTGTTCGCATTCTCAGCGCTGAGTTACTCTTGTTTGATACCCGTTTACTTAAATGCATACTTTTGTTTATTACGATGCCAGTTATTTCAAAGTTCTTACATTCACTTTTTTTGATTCCCAGTTTGTCCATTCTGCCAGCACAGAAAGACCCTCCCAGATTGAAATCTTTAAACTGTTGTTCTTGGCGAACACCAGAAGCACTTTCATCTCCAGTTCTTTTGACTCATTTTCCTCGAAACTTATCGCTTTTTTGATGAAAAACTTCGCTTGTTCATACGAACCCGCATCGCACAGAACCATCGCAGCTTCATGCAAGCATTCGGCTTTTAACGAGTCGCACATTTCTTGGTCGTGTAAAACAATATTTGCTTGCTTTTTCACGGTTTGAATTATTTTGTCGAAACTGGCCTTAGAAAGAGAAGCCCAAAATTTGGCGGAATCTGCCGGGTTGGTGCCAGTGCTAATGATTCTATCATCGTACAAATCCTTGACTAGCTTCCATTCGATTACGTCTTCCTTAGAAGTGAATCTTTCAGTTATATTTGACAAAGATTTCTTGAACGTATCGGTCAATTCTTCTGTTGTTGGAAGCTTCACGTTAGCCAAAGAATGTTTCCTGATTCCCAAGCACTTCAGCAGTTTTCTCTCGTGACCAGTTTTCAGACCCAATTTCTTAACATCGGATGCAGTCATTTCGAGGACTATGTCCAAAAATTGGAACCCGTTTTCGAACAGAGCTTTTGTGACTTGTTTCGGAAGCTTGTTTTTAGTGAGCCAATCGGCTAAATCATCGTCGCAGTACAAATTAGTCATGCTTGTCGGCATGGATCCCAGACTCTGAAACTCCGACTTTTGGATCATGTCGGGGTGAACAATTCTTTCGACTAACTGACTCGCTCGCAAGTCTTCGGCTAATTTATCCACTTCCCCGACGTATACTATTCTGCACTTCGGACACGGGAAGGATGAGTCATCGCCGTTTTTTTGTTGCCACTCTTCGAGACATGATTTGCAGAATGTGTGGTTACAGGGCATGAGTCGTGGGTCATCATACATGTCCTGACATATCTCGCAAGTGACGAAGTCCTGGAACATCCGACGTTGTGGATCCAAAGGTTCATTCAGCTCACATCCCTCCATTTCCGCTATTATGCAGTCTGATTTGTTCACGATCAGCCGGAATATCTCATCCCAGCTCTGTCGCTCGTCTGCAAAACAACAACCACACAATTTAATAACAATTACTACATTGCTGTCAAAAACTCATGATATCAATTGGAACATTCGTTTTTGCTCTCAAAGATTTACAAAATAGCAGTTACTAAAATCGACTGAAACTCAATTGTTTCTGCTCCTACTCTAACTTAGCTCATGTGACTGATAAAAAGAACAAATAAGTTATGATTTTTAATGAAAACTATAACTTCAGTAAATTTTGTAACTTTTTCTCTAGCCTTTTTGAACAACTTAATAGCTGCTAAAACACTCTGAGTTTCAAATAATTCTACTTATACAAAAATGAAAATTCAAGGGGCCAGAACATTAGTTTGGTAAATGTTATTCTCAAATGAATAAATTTTGTTCAGTGAGTTCTATAATTCTGAAAACTATTTATGGAAATTTTCTGATGATAAATTTCTTAATATGATGAAAATGATAATTCTTAAACAAGTAAAATTTTAGTCACTTGACTTAAAATATGGTTTGAAAGTTTGGTCGGTTGTAGGAATCTTTCGTACTTTTAACCAGACAGTGGAAGTTGGATGTTATGCAGTGTGCTGTGGGGTATATTTGGGGGTCAATCCAGTGGAAGCCTCCGATCACGATAGGAATGAATTGGGGGGAGCCTTTCTTGTTAAACACAGAATAGGCACAGTTGAACTCAGATCTACACTCGCCACTGTTCGCCCAATTCTCATCCAGAAACACGACCATCACTTTGCAGTTGGCCGCGTTCGAAATGATCGATTGTCGGAAGTCTCCGCCGGCCGACATCTCAGAACATATGAAAACTGAATTGCGACGAAGTGTTACAATAGGTGGTACATTTCAGACCTAATTAATCTTTTTCTGGTGTATTAAACAACTGAATTGATGAATTGATCATTTGCGAAAAATGACAGAAAATTTTGGATTCTGAGTGTAAATTTTCTTGAAAGTTTTGAGCAGTCGACCCAAATTTTAAATTCCAGTTGGAATCGAGTGATGTATTATATTTGTTATTTTTGTTGTTCGTGTTGGAAGAAGAATTTCACGAATTTTTTTTTCAGTATTCACGAACGCCATGAATACGGGCTGGGAGAATTATTGAAATCTTATTTGACAGGCAGCAACCAACTTGTCATGGTGGGAGAAAAAAGTCCAAATTAGAATTGGTTAATTGAGGACTTACACAGGGATCAGTTTTAGCACCATTATTCTTCCAACCCTTGAAAATGGGGAGGAGCATTATATTCGGGTGTGTTTTAGTATTTTTTACGCAAAATCAGGTACCACAAATAATTATCGGACTGGGTTGAGTGATAAACTGTATTAACGACTTTTCAGGCGTGATTCCAACGACCTTAGAAACTTTAAAATAAGTTCTCAGTGTCGCAAAAAACCGATTTTAAGTTTGATTTTTGTCTTTTTTCGAGCGAGTGAAGCAATCGAGTATCAATAGTCATATGAAAATATACTTTTATTAATCCTTTAGTCTGAAAAAATTTATATTTACCAAAAAAAACTTTGTTTTGAATGTAAAATTTTGTGCTTCGGTGTCATTAAAAAGTTCCAAAAAAATATATTTTGTGCAAAGATATTGGAAAATAAGTTTGAATTTCTTTTGAGTATTTATTATTTTTTCTTTTTTCGATTATCATTTTTTAGAAAAAAAATTGTCAATTTTGTCTATTTCACAAAGTTTCTACGCATTTTAATAACTCTCGAATCCCACGTCGAGCTAAATACGACTTAAATGTTCAGAAAGGAATAGAAAATATACCTTTTTCAGTGTTTAGTTTTTTTTTTTCAACATGGTCGCTACGATCTGTGCTACTTGCACAGCAACCGGCTGTCCTCTTTATTCATTTTGTATTAAAAAGACAAGTTCAATGTATTTCAAAACAAAAAAGATAATAATGTTTGCTGATAATACAACCTTTTATACTCCAATTTTCTCTGTTTTAGAACACATGAGAAAAAAAGTTGAAGATGTGTCTAACAAAAGTGAATTTAAACAAAACACAGTCATACTATGTAAATTCTCTCAAGCATCGAGGGATCCAGATTTAGCTCTAAGATGATATACATTTCAAAATTAGAACTAAAAACTTGGGCAATACTTTGGATGAAAAATTAGCATAAAAAACCGCTTTCATTGAAACAAAAGGCAAAACACTTCTTCAATTAGTAGGAAAGATGTATTAATTTAAGAAGTTTTTCAACACAAAAGTAAGTTGCCTCTGTACGAAGCTCACGTTGAGAGTATGACAGAATGGAGTTTACTTAGAAAATAAGTTAATTAGAATCCTTTTTACGAGGCAAATCTGAAGAAAGCGTGCGCGAGTTATGAATTCGGCATAGTCTGTACTCATTAAAAGACTTACACGTTCATGAACCGACGGAATTACCTAGTGAAGTCTGAAGAGAAACATACGGTTGAAAGATAGAACAAAATTATATCATTTGCTGAAATTTTTATTACAATTAACGAATCGTAAAGTTGAAAATTTCAAAAGTTACAGAGTGAACAAAGGAAGAAAATGCTTGTCAGGAGTATAAAAACACATTTCAACAAGCTCTTTTCTTGGGACGAATTTTTAAAAACATTTTTGTGGATTTGAAGGAAGTACAATTGAAAAACCATCAGCAAAAATTCAGAAAGTTGTATATACTGGATAATAACGAGTTCGGTGATTTTTTTTCGGTAGGTTAAAAATTATGTGTAGACGAAGTTTTAACAATAAGTTAAAGATGTGGAGGCATTGAAAATACAAATAGAAAGACTAATTGTTTTTTTTTCTCTCATACTCTTTATAGACGAGAAACGAAAAATGATTTCAAAGACATCAACTCGAGAGAATAAGTGTTCATACATGAAGCAAAATTATACTTTGTACTTAAAAACTCAAGACAAATAAATAGATTATTATAGTATCGAGGAAAACAATGTTCCGAAATTGTGCTCTTCGAGGCATTTGATCTGCAATTCTTTTTTTCGCAGGTGGTTCAGGTGAAATTTAAACTTGACCGAAAGAAAATACTAAACATTCTCTAAAAAGAAGCTTTTTGCTTTTTCTTATAATTATAACCGGACTATTCTGCCGGCCTAGATTTTTTTGTGATTCTATTTTATCACGGAGTTTATATTCCAGTTTTTAAAGCAAAGATTACTTAACTATGTGAACTATTTGTAGTTTTCAAGTTGAGGTATAAATGAAATTAGTCCAAATTTTTAACTACTTTGAATAAAATGTACCAAAGCTGCTGTAACAGTTCACCCGAATAGTTGCTGGATGTTAAGTGTTCGTGAAGGGACTCTGCTTCCTCGCCTGCCGAAGAGACGCAGTGACTCAGAAACACTTGTTTCGTCGACATTTCCAAAGTATATTCTATTTACTTTGAGTATCAAATATTTCAGATGAACAGGAAAAACCAAATATTTAAGAAGATAAAGTAAAGTTGTTTGCCCCTTGGATATAATGGTGTGACAAATTTTTGCAGCATTCGATTGTTTTTTTTTTCTGAAGAACCAATTATAATATAATTGATAAAGGCAAATACGCAAGGTTTAATTTGTGGGGTAAATTCGCACTTTTTTGCTTTAACATAAGCTTTAACATAAGGAGGAAATAACGAGCAAAGCTTTTTATGTTATCATTGCTTTGGCGTTACCATGCCAATGTTTTTGCGGTTGTTTCTTTCTATATAAATATCGGTTTTAACTACGTCAAGCTTTTCCTGTATGAGAAGACGATTTGACTAAATATAAACAGTATGCACATTGTCTAACTGATCGAAATTTGACCAGAAACAACTGGTCGGAAGAAGAAACCCGACTGCAGTGGGAAGATATTCTGCGAGGCAACATACTCACTTTCAGTCTGAGGGACATATCAAGGTCCAACTATATAGTTGTCGAATTAGGGTCAGACTAGAATAAAAAAGATCGACTATTTTGTACCGGTCTGTGTTGTTTTCGTCTGCTTTGTACAGAAACGGGTCGAGTATGATTTCAATCAACATGGTGGTTTTCGGTCAAAATGTGTTGTTTTGCGTTTGTTCTGATTGTCATAATCTGAGTAATCGTTAATTCAGAGAAATATATTTTGAACAAACTTCTACTAACAATTTAACCATCCAGCAACTATTCGGGTGAATTGTTACAGCAGCTTTGGTACAATTTTCATATCTAGTTTTCTGTGAGTTTGGGTTGATTCGATCGCTTTGAAGGTTTTCGCAATTTTTTCTTTTTCTTGAATGGTGTTTTGTTCTGTTGGTTCTTTTTCTATTGTTATTCTATCGGTTGCTTTTTCTTAACCCATTGAATGTTCTCAAATTGTGTTTCAAATTAAGGCGCCGAGTGTTATTTACACACAATTTTGAATTCTGGAACTCTTCTATCTTTTATATCAGAAAATGATCTGAAAGTAGTGAATTTTCGATTTTGTGGCAATTTTAGTGTTCCGACTTTTGGTCCGACTTTAGTGTTCCGAAGTAAGTGCTAATTTATGCTTGGGTTAGTTTTTTTTATTCAGTCAATATTCGACTTCTTAGCCATGCGTTTTTGAGAGAATATTTTTTATAACTAGCATTTATAGACCAATTAAATGATGGAATATCTCAATAAAATGTTTATAACTAACCAATCATTCCATCTCTAACACTTACACATATTTGTAAGTGCTGAAACTACTTGTAGTTTCAGCACCAGAACAATTTGAATAAAACTTAGAATACAGTTGTTTTCCTTCTGGCAACTAACTCGCATAAACCAGTATACACTAGATCTATTGAGACTAGGAGATACAAGAGTAAGATTAAGATTGGTGTTAGACTAAGAAGTTGCACGAATCTATCCGGCCGAAAATAAGATAGCGTGACGAGCAGACGGTGTACCTTATCTGAAATTACTCTATGAGTACAGTCAATAGAACATAACTCATCTGGTGCGACCAAAAGTCTCGAACAAGACCTTAACTAACTTAGATTTAGAAAAAACTGGTTAAAGAATTAGACAATTGCAAAATTGCAAAAGTGTTAGACAGAATAGATAATTCAATAGAAATGTCTCTACGTCTCAATAAATTTACACCAAATTTTCCAACAAAACCAGAAATACCAGGTATTGAAAGAAGACCAAGATCGTGGCGCGAAAGACAATCAGGAATCGGACCACTCTGCTACATGATAGTACGACGTAAACGGGAACAAACCCTTGTATTTAAAATATTTTATGCAGTAAATTTAAATTTTCATTTACTGACATGAAATTTGAAGTAATCCTTCAACAACCTTCTTGGTGCTAAACCTACTATCTATACAATAACGACTGATAAAAAGAACACAAGTCGTTCCCCCAAAATCTGCAGTAAAATAAAACTTTTTATTAAATAATTTATTAGATACAAAATACAAAAGTTAGTTAGTAAAAAAATCATTGTTAGTTTCATAAATTAACTGATTTTTCTAATCCCAGATTCATCACCTAAAACATAACAGCAACAATTCAAGAAACTAACCTCATCAAAGGTTCATCTCAAAACTTCATCTCAAACTTTCAAGTTAAAAATTGTCAAGGCTTATCCTTGTTTTTGATACTCCACTTTTCTTCAATGAACAGATCATCAAAGCTTCCTTGGATGTATCATTTTAAATTAAACCTAAAATTAAAATTATTTTGTTATTTATCATCAAGGCTTTCCTTGGATCAAACAGAACAATTTTGTTCTCCCCTTCCCATAATTTTAAAAGTGTCTAACGACCTCAAACGTCGATTCACTACCCAACCCTTATCAACGACCCAGGACTAAAAGAAATTTTGAATAAACTAACCATATAAATTAAGCTAAACAGTGAAGAACTTCGGTTACTCATCCTTCACATGAGCCCTTCCTATTAGATGACCCAGGCTAAAACCCTTAACAAATTAGTAAGTCGTAAAATAGTATCTAACGATCTACTTGTGTTCTAATTATACCTGAACCTTGTGGATTGATTTACTATTCTCCAACCCTCAATCACAAAATCACAACCCTTGGGTAAGATTAAGTAGGAAATTCATAGATTAAAACTTGTTCACGAGAGAAAAAATCATTATCACGGGTTGATATACTCTCTCTCTAACCCGTCAACCACGAAAATCTATAACCCAATTTAAGATAACCACACATAAACCGTAAGAAATAACAGTTTAGGAAACTAAAAACTCTAACCCTCAAATATTGCATCCATCATCCTAATCCTTATGTCAAGAGATAACCTAGGTAGCAAACAAACAACCGTATTACATAATTGTTTAATTAAAAACGAAAGATCCGACCTTTTGTTCACACCACACAGACAAACAAAAGGATATATTAGATCAAAAAGACAAACACGAAAAAAGACAACCGTAACAAATCAAAAACAAATTATAAAAAAAAACGATTTTCAAAACGAAGAAACGTAGTCTCTGAATCAGAAACAAACACAAAACAGGAACTTCAAGATTTTAAAGACTCGATAAATAAAAATAACCCAATAGACGACTAAATATGTTTTTCCGACTCAGAAGCCAAAACACCATCGTCAATAAAAGGAAAATGCAAAATAAAAAAGTCATATATTAACAAATCAATACGTCTATATAATTAGAATCAACCAATAAGACATATTGAATGTTACACACTATCAGTTTTAGAAAATAAAACATGATCGAGTTCAACGAAAACTTCGACGATAACGCGATACTCCAATTTTTCAAAAAACCACAAATTGATCCCGCCCGAGGACAAGTACAATTTTGTTACAACTAAATTGCAAACTTATTCGAAAAAGGAAATAGTCAATGTTACAGGAATTTCCTGAAGTAAAAATAAAACGACAAATCATTGACCCCTATCTCAAAGATATATGTAATATCACATCATATTATGGTATATTTACAATCGAAATTACATCACCAAAACCAAAGCAAATAAAACACCAAACACAAAAAGACGATATAGACAAAGAATTCTCAAAAGTTTTTAAAGATTATGTAAAAAATATACAACAACAAAATTCACAAAGAGCAAATTCAATATTCACAAACAATGTATTTTCAATCACCTATAGCTATCTATCTATACTAGAATTAAGAGAAACACAAGGTGACTCACCAACTCAAACATCCCGAAAAACAGCTGTAAGACAAGAAATATGTAATTTCTCAAAATTTTTAAATACAATCCGTGAAAACCTCACTAGAAATGAAATATCACAAAATGTTATCCAAATTTTATCCAATATCCAAACTGCTACTCCACAAATAAATAATATTCATGACTCCGACACAGATTTAGCTGAAAAAATTACTCAAATATTAAATATCTACGCGAAAAACCCAAATTTTAAAGGCAAACCATCATTTAAAAAACGGTGTAACTATGGCCGTAGATATAGATCTACAAAAAATACTAGCATGGTTTATAATTGGTTATTTTGTCCATAGCATTGATCTTATATCATTAGCAAGAAAAAGTTGACTGCTTTTGACTCATTTTCCTCGAAAATTATCGCTTTTTTGATGAAAAACTTCGCATGTTCATACGAACCCGCATCGCACAGAACCATCGCAGCTTCATGCAAGCATTCGGCTTTTAACGAGTCGCACATTTCTTGGTCGTGTAAAACAATATTGGCTTGCTTTTTCACGGTTTGAATTATCTTGTCGAAACTGGCCTTAGAAAGAGAAGCCCAAAATTTGGCGGAATCTGCCGGGTTGGTGCCAGTGCTAATGATTCTATCATCGTACAAATCCTTGACTAGCTTCCATTCGATGTAAAATTTTAGTCACTTGACATAAAAACAGTCGGCGGATTGTAGGAATCTTTCGTGGTTTTAACCAGACAGTGGAAATTGGATGTTATGCAGTGTGCTGTGGGGTATATTTGGGGGTCAATCCAGTGAAAGCTTCCGATCACGATAGGAATGAATTGGGGGGAGCCTTTCTTGTTAAACACAGAATAGGCACAGTTGAACTCAGATCTACACTCGCCACTGTTCGCCCAATTCTCATCCAGAAACACGACCATCACTTTGCAGTTGGCCGCGTTCGAAAAGATCGATTGTCGGAAGTCTCCGCCGGCCGACATCTCAGAACATATGAAAACTGAATTGCGACGAAGTGTTACAATAGGTGGTACATTTCAGACCTAATTAATCTTTTACTGGTGTATTAAACAACTGAATTGATCAATTGATCATTTGCGAAAAATGACAGAAAATTTTGGATTCTGAGTTTAAATTTTTTTGAAAGTTTTGAGCAGTCGACCCAAATTTTAAATTCCAGTTGGAATCGAGTGATGTATTATATTTGTTATTTTTGTTGTTCGTGTTGGAAGAAGAATTTCACGAATTTTTTTTCAGTATTCACGAATGCCATGAATACGGGCTGGGAGAATTATTGAAATCTTATTTGACAGGCAGCAACCAACTTGTCATGGTGGGAGAAAAAAGTCCAAATTAGAATTGGTTAACTGAGGACTTACACAGGGGTCAGTTTTAGCACCATTATTCTTCCGACCCTTGAAAATAGGGAGGAAAATTATATTCGGGTGTTTTAGTTTTTTTGTTTTTTACGCAAAATCAGAAACCAAAAATAATCAACATACTGGGTTGAGTCATAAATTGTATTAAAGACTTTTCAGTCGTGATTCCAAAAA